GGAGGGGTGTGGGGGCTGCATGGGCCAGCTGAGCATTGTGAGGTACTAAGTGGAATGGTGTGAAGACCAAGAGAGTAAGGCCCATGAAACTGCCAGAAATATTTGAGGAGAAATTTCTTGAAGATGGAGATTGTGCACGAGGAGGCGCGTCCCAGAGCTAGGTCATCTGGGTGACTCTTGTGGGGTAATTTATGGAATTATTTAATAGAAATTAACTCTATGATTACTATAACCCTGTAGTGTCAAGTAAGTAAGAAGCAAACAGGGTCCGAGGATTTAGCTCAGTGGTTCCGCCACCTGCCTTGCAAGAGCAAGAACCTGAGTTCTATCCCCCGTACCAAAAAAGAAAAGAAAGGAGCAATCAGAATTTCACTCTTGTTTTGACATAATACTTGAAATCATTATAACTTTAGATAAAGATATTTCTGTCATTCTTCCATGCATTTATTGAGGGTACATTTGAAGAGTGCCAGTTTACAGTTCAGTTAGGTTTTTTTGCTACTGTGGTCACCACATCTGAACATGTGTATCATCCAGTTTGCTTGTTACAGCTGTGGCCTTACTGTGGCCTTATCTGTGACCAAATGAGTCAATGTGTGAACTTCTTTTTTTGCCTTTTCTTCAAGATTCATTGTCAGGGATTGAGGATGGAGAAACACTGCTTCTTTTTCTTAAAGAGTAGGAGATGTAATCCCTTGCTAAGGGAGTGGTAAACAGGAGTGAAGTAAAAGTCTAACCAAGAGTGGTCAAATTTGAAATGTGGAAGAATTCTTTATAAATACATAAAAACATTTTCTGAGCATCACTGGTATCCATCTAAGACTATTGACTTTAAAAATATGGGTACAACAATCCTTGGTGATTATTTATGGAGGGTCCCCATGACTTGAATGTGTTCATTAAGAGTCTGATGTAGTTCCCAATGGCAAATGTAAGTCCTGATGTTAAAGGAGATATAGAAAAGCACACAATAAATTACTAAAAGCATAACTGGGGATGGAAAATAAGCATGTATGAACAGCATTAATAACAATACAATTAAATTGTTAGATAAATTGTGTAATAATACATAGACTCTAAACTAAGAAACAAGTCATTAACGTAGTTGATAAAAGGGGTAGAATTTAACCAATGTCTTGAAAATACATCTGAATTTGAAAGGGCATGCCATTTAAGTCAAGAAAAGATATTGTTGCACAGATTAAACATTTTTACCATTCTTTCGTACAGTGCTACCTCAACTATTTCAAAGAAAACACATTGGTCCTCAGAGGGATTGGCATAACAAGTCAAGGCCAAGACAGTTCTGGCTCAAGCATAGAGTGGTGAAAAGATCATGGGGGAATTTTCAGAGGTGCTATGGGAAATAATGCTCTATACTACAATGCCAAAGTGTTATTTGTTTGCACACAAAAGATCAAAGTGCCACACATATGAGTCACCTAGAAAAATATTTACTCGGTTTTAAGAATTCAGTGAGAGGATTATATTTAAGCAGCATGGAAAGAATAGTCTATAATTGAAGAAATCCTAACAACAGTGGCTGTAAGACACATATGGATCCTTCCAGTGTAAGTGTCTGCCTTTGTTTTTTTTTGGGGGGGGGCTTATTTCATTTTATTATTATTTTTTCCTTTTTTGACTTTAATTAGTACATATCTGCAGTACATAATGATTACATTCACTTTAGAGGATTGGTATATGCACATAACACATTTCAATTCCTTTCTTTTTCCCCTTCCCTTCACCTCCTTTCATTCTTCCAGCATCAGATTCATTTATTTATCTTATAAGGCCTTATAAAGTTTTTATCATACACACAGATTGAAAACCAGACTAATAAGTCAAAGAACACATGAAGCATGTAAGACAATTGTACTAAGTCAAGGTCTGTCTATGATTTCAATTTTTTAAATCACCTCCAAGTAGATGAGGCCTGTGCTGTGCTTACAACACTTGTACATATCTTAATTATTTATCCTTTTATACTGATGCCCTTGAGAGACTTACAGTGAGGGACAAACTGCTGCATAAGGACAAACTTGGGTGTTTACAGAGAGCTTTTGAGGCATGTTTCAATTTGCCCAGCTATCATCCTAAGCAGTGATATGTATGTTAAAAGTGGCATTGAAAACATTACGTATAACAAGTCAAAATATACAATATTAACATAGAAATAGATTATTTGAGAAGAATAGCAAACTTTCCTTTAGCAAATAGGAGAGGTATTAGAATAACATCGGGCCGGGGATTTAGCTCAGTGGTTTCTCCGCCTGCTGCGCAAGCGCGCAAAGACCGGAGTTCCATCCCCGGTACCAAACAAACAAACAAACAAACAAATGTAGGGAAACCTTAGAGCCAGCTGTGCTAAGGAAGGCCTGCAGGGGACAGTATGAGGACTTACAAGACACTTGGGGGAGAGGAAGCCATGTGAAGACAGTCGGAGACTTCCTGTTTGCTTTGGGGCAGACTCTGGGTAACAGTGACTTACAAAAGGTAATATATACGGCAAACATACTACACAGACAAAAATGACAAAAAATTGTGCAAGGAAAAGAGAACGAGGTAAGAAAGTGAAAGGGAGAAAAAGGAAGGGAAAGTGGCATTGAAAATCCCTGAACAAGGGGCTATGAAGAAGACCAGCACAATGTCTGGAAGTCTAACCACACCTGTGTTGCTGCTACCCACTGCTTCTGTGGTTTTGTGTCAGATGAAGTACTTGACCCGAATTTTCATGAGTGTGAAAAAAATCCCTATATTTAAACACTAGTTCCACGCTCTGTGCTACAAGACATTTGTGAAGAAATATGACTGCAGAGACAAAACTATTGATATAAAGAAAAATAATCTAACATGTATATCTGTCCCAGACTCGGCTCAGGTTATGTGCCCTTGATGGGAATCACAGTTCCTGGTGCACTGTTTAAATTCGTACTTATTTTTTATTTTTGAGGGGGCCTAGCACATAGTGCCTCAAAAATGCATTTATTTTGCAATGTTACAGTATAGTAAAATTATACTTACACTGTTTTTCTGAATTCCTTCCCATCACACTTCTTAATAGACATTTTATGTTTCTATGTTTATGCAATATCTGTGAGGAGAATGCCTACAAAATATGTTATTCAGATTTAATTAACTTGTGTACAGTGCTTAGTAGGAATTAGTGTGCTACACATTAAAATACAGGACTTATATCATTCCCCTTATATCATTGCTGGGAAGTAGGCTTTTAAAAAATATTTTGGGCTGGGGTATAGTTCAGTATAGAGTACATGCTTAGATTGTACAAGGTCCTGGGTTCAATCTCCGGCACTGAAAAGAAAAAAAAGGAAAGAAATAATTATAGATTCACAGAAAGTTCCAAAAGACAGTAGAGTTATACATTCTTTAACTAGTTTTCCTCAGTAGTAACATCTTATGTAATTATAGCAGAATATGAAAGTTAGAAAGTTGACTTTGATATAAGATAGTTCTGTGACTTTTTTTATATGTGTGTATTTGTGTTCCCATCACTCCACCACTACCTTTAGGACACATAACTTGTCCACTGCCACAAAGCTCATTTTTGTACTACATCTTCAGTCAGAAAAAGTCCCTAACCCCTTCTGTTGTACGTCTTTACTATTCTTTAATTTCAAGAATGTGATATAAGTGAAATCAGAATATGTAAACTTTTGAGACTAGAATTTTGTACTCATTATAATGCCCTGCAGTCCTTGGAAGTTGTGGCTAGGAGTTGTTGCATGTATCAATGATTTGTCCTTATTATTACTAAATAGTATGCCATAGATTCCCATTTACCTCTTGGGAAACATTTACTTGTTTCTAGTTTTTGGCTATTATAAATAAAGCTGCTGTGAACATTTGTGCACATGTTTTTGTTATGTAGCTTTGGATAAACATAACAGAGAGATTGAGGAGGTAAATTCTCCCCAGTAACCCTGCTACTCAACCACTGAATTGTTATCCAAACCCAATGTCTTTATCTTATCTCCAGTGCTCTCTCCACTATATCACATTAACTGAGGACAATGTTCAGCAGATGGTGTAGAAAAGTAAAGTAATGATTATGTATGTGGTTACTTCTTGATAAAATATTGTCCAGGATAATATATGCTCAATGCCATTATTCTTTTTATGTATATATATTTTTACATCTTTATTTGTCAGGAATCTCCAGGAGAAACAGAACCAATGGGAGTAGCAGAATTTATCATTCATCTCCCTTTCAATTTCATTTAGGCCATAAGAGATTGAAATGCTCACCTTCATTAGTGAGGGTCGACATTCTTGATTCAGTTCACTGATTCAAATATCAATCACTCATGGAAACATCCTCACAGATATACTCAAAATATTGTTTTACTAGCTATCTGGAAATCCTTTAACCTAGTCAAGTTGATGCAGAAATTAACCATCACAGTCCATTAGAAATTCAGATAAAACAATATTAATACCTTTTTAAAAAAAACCTGAAATTGTCCCTTTTTCTTCAAATGATTTGCATTTTCTTTTATATTTTTTTCAGTGCCATTATTCTTACCATGCTGTGTGCACATCCTTCATGCATCAGTCACGCAACCTATTATTTGACTACCTATGAGGCACTAACCCCTGTGCCAACTGTTGAAGCACCAAGACTGATCTCGGTGCTGATCCCCAAAGCACCATATTTGTGGTTTAGAGAGTTTGCTCTGTATTAATTGGCTTTAACAGTTTTACATTTTAGTTAAAAATGTTTGTTTGTTCAGAGTTCATGTGAATTTCATAATATTATTTAAAAATGTCTTTTTAAACTTGTTTAAAACTATGTTTAAAAATATGGTTACAATACTTTGCCTTTCAAGCATGCACATACAAATTAAAGGTCTACTTTTTCAAGGTATGAATTCAGTCCTTCTTCCAAATAGGAATAAGGTTCAGTTGAATATTCGTTTGCAAAACGTTCACCAATGAATAATTTATTCTGCTTATTCTATGTCTCTTTCCTTCAATAGCATGAAAAATTGATCAACCGTCCACAGAGTACCAAAAGAATTTCTACAGATCCTGTAGGTATGGAATACTTGCTCTATCTTCATTATAGTACCCCTCCCACCTCTTATATTCTATGTATTTTTCTTAATCACTTTCCTGTTGCTGGGACAAAATACCCAATACTCACAACTTAAAGGAGTGACTTATTTTGGCTTAGGGTTTTGATTCATGGTCAGCTGCCTGTAAGGCAGAAACAGCATGGTGCAAAGGCCTGGCAGAGGAGAAAAGGGGCTCCACTCATGGTAGCAGGAGGTCAGAAAGGAGAGAAAAGTGAAGAACAGGAGACAAGAATACACCTTTGCAGGCCATGTTCCCTGTGACCCACCTCCAACCAGGCCCCACATACTGACAGTGCATTTAGTTACTGAACTTGTCAGTGAATGAATCCACTGATGAATACAGTGCCCCCATGATCCAGTCACCTTTGACAGAGATGAGAATTCTGGGGGACATTTTAGGTCTAAACTAAAAATGGATATATGAACCCTTTTGTGGCAAAGAATGAAGAAAGTGATTTTTCAATTAATTGCTAAGTTTATCAGTCCAATAAAATAGAGTTTTCTTGAAAGTTGTGCACATATAAACCAAAATAGCATTCTGAAATATGCATATAATTAAATTGGTATTGAAACCTATACAAAAACATAAACCATATCAAGTATTATTTTGCTCAGACAACAAGTAACTTCCTAGGTTTCATAAATAACTGATTAGAGTTTGTACTGAAGTGTTGACTATTAAGTTGTAAATCTTTAAATGAGGTCAGTTCAAACCAACATTCAAGGTCAATAGATTTGAAATAGAAGTACATATTTATATGAGCCCACAAAAAAACGTTTACTACTTACTGTGGTTGTGCACAATTGGTAAGGTTATACATAAGTAAGTATGTAGTTACAAAATAATGATATAGTTTTCAGGGTAGAATTTGATGCTTTTATTCTGTCTTAGGCTTTAAAAATTATTTTGTAATATTAATGGCTACTACTGAAATATCTTATTAGTCTTTAAAGGAGAGCAGAGAATGGCTTCTGACTATTTTATCACCACTTTCCATGGATGGCATAGTATCCTAACCAGAGATTACCCTTAGAGATTTGTGCAGAAAATGCACAGGGTATACTAAACTACATTAGGGGTAGGACAGGAATAAACTTTAATATTATATACTCTTTAAGGGAAAATAAAACTTTTTAAAAGAGAGAGCAGGTGATGTAAAAAAATAGTGACAACACCAATTGGCAAGAGATCAGTAAGTTTAAGTTAATAATATTAACTTTTGAAAATTTGATATTCAAATAAAGGCACAATTATTGCCCTTGTCAATAGTCAGAGAGTACAAGAGTATAATGATCCTTCCTTTATGTACAAAAAAGTCAAAGCTCCTATAGAAACAAGATACTAGATACAGTTTGAAATTTTAATAGGATGGAACTTTTAAAAGCTTTAAATGTTTAGAAGTTTAAATAACATAAAGACCTTTCAAGAGATTTATTAATGGGGTACTAACAAGATCAGATTAGGCCCCAAAACTTCCATTAGTTGTGCAGGAGACCAAAATGAGTCACAATTGATAACAGGAATACGAGGTAGCAACTGGGATTCTGCAATAAGAGATTCATAGGACTTTATGGTAGGACTTCATAGCACTTTTTTCACAGTGCTAAAACAACTGAGGTAATCAGCTTAACAGGAGGAAAGGCTTATTTGGTCTAACAGTTTTAGAGCTTTCAGTTTATGGTTGCTTGGCTCTGTTGATTTGGGACTTTGGCAGCACAATGCATCATAATAAGAGTGTATGTCTCCCTGTGTTCTCCTTGCCTCAATTTCACTTCAAAATCATTGTCTTACAAAGTCTCCTTTGGAGACTCCCATGTTTTCTGGAGTTCACTTCAGATGTTGTTCACTTCATAGTATCTGGAAGCAAAGAAAGAAACAGGAAGTGGCCAGAGTCTCCATATCCACTTCAAGGACATTCCCCCAATGATCTAACTTACTCTCTTTGGAACCCACCCCCTAAATGTTCCACTACTTCCCAGTAGTTCCACAGGATGGGGACTAATTTTTCAAAACATGGGCCTTTAGGGGACATTTGAGCTCCAAATGTAGCAGGAATAATTAGAATTAAGTGAATTAAACTAGAAAGTTGAAGAAATATTTGAGATGTTTAGAATTGGGACCATTAGAACTTAAGTACAGAGGATAAAAACAGGCTTTCAAAATAAAAAGAAATGAGTTTTCAGAAGTGTGAATAATATTGCATTGTAGCTTACTCAGATGAGTGATTACATTGACTAAGAGAGTGAGTAGAGTGAAGGCAAATGAGATAGAGAGAAGGAAAGGCCAGAGGTGAGGCCTTTGAATTTGAATTTTAGAAATATGGCATTTATATGAACTATAATATGCCTTGGTAGAGATGAAGAGAAAATGAATATTGCGAATACTATACCAAGATTTAGAGAAACAAAGAAAAGATGAAAAGATATAGTCGATCTGGGACATTTGATGTGGAGGACACGTCTCACAAAGTAAGAGGTATTGAGTTCTCCAAGCAGAAAGATCAGCAATACAAGAGGCCTGAGATAGAAAGCAGTAATTCAGTAGCATCAAGAGGCAGAGAGTTAACAAAGGGCAGGGGAGGGAAGAAGAGAACAAGAAGAGGCCATGGAATCTAAAACAGTAAGTGAAATGCTTTGTGGAAGTCAGAGAAGATACAGGCTAACATTCATTTGCTGTAAGTAGTAATTAAGAGGTCTAATAGGATAGGAAGAAAAGCTTGACTTTTACAAGAAGGCATAGAACCTTAAAGCAAAGGTATATGTCGTCAGTCACTAGTGGGGAACTTGAGGATTCATGCTTATATTGGTTATTAAGAGATTTTATGGTTAAAAGGGGGAAGACTTAGCCCAGTAGCTTAGCATAGTGGTAGAAGCTGGGAAAGAAGTGACTAGTATTCTTAAGAAGCACAGAAGAAATCTGCAGTGAGGAAAGATTAAAAGACAGGCATGAAGGTAAAATACTTCGTGAAAAACACTAGAGATGGACTCCAGAAGACACAGGAGTCTCTGAGGGAGACTTTGTAAGAAAATGATTTTAAGCTGAAAACGAGGCAGGGAGAACTCGGGGAAAAGGATCTTGGGTAAAGTAAAAGAAACAGACACTGGCTGAATGAAATAGAATGAGAATAAGACCGAGGCTTAAATATAGGACAAAAGTTTTGAGCCATTCCTATGGAAAATTTTAAATTGAGCTTAGAAAAGAATTTTTAGTGGATTTATAAACTACTGCTGGCCTAAAAGGTATAACATTGTATAGTGTTTATTGGTCACATTCAGCATATTTTCATATTTTCACTTCAGTACAGTATTAGAGTGGCAGGATTAGGGTTGACAAATTGAGAGAAATGAAAGCTAAAGAGGAAAAAATGCTTTAAATTGGTCTTAAGACCAACGTTGATCATTGGGAGCAGTGCTGGGACAGAGGTGGGTGGTATGTTGCAAGGTAACTGAATGGTTACAGGGTATCTGAGGAATTACTGTATTAAGGATGGGGCAAAGAGCATATTATGAAGGAGCAAAGAAACAGAAGCCATGGTAATTTATAAAGTAAGATTTAGTGATAACATTGAAAAGCTGAGGCCATGGAGGTGGAATAATTCTGGCTGATGATAAAACATAAGAATTGGCTCTGAAAGTCAGTTTCTAGTGTCACAAGAGGGGTTGGGCCGGAGATTTAGCTCAGTGGTTCTGTCGCCTGCCTTGCGAGTGCAAGGACCTGAGTTCGATCCCCGGTACCAAAAAAAAAAAAAAAAAACAGGGGTCACTGAAATTGATAAGATGAAGGAATCATGTGATTCAAAGAGAAAGATTATCAGTAGGGTGGCTAATAAAGGTGCCTACCCATGGCAGGAGATGGATGCTATAGATGGGGAGGAGAAGACCAACCAAGCATAGATTTCAAAATAAATGCATTAAATAATGATAGCCCAATGTTCATTCAAAAGCCAACAAGGTTCTGTTAGCTTCTTTTCCTAAGTACCCTTCCCAGAAAAATGGCTTATAATGTAAATCAGAGTGTGATTTACATGAGCAGATAGATGGAAGGGGTCATTGAATAACCGTGGGCAGACATAGAACTTTTTGTTCAAACAAAACCAGGGAAGCTGGTGCAGGGGTGAACATGCTATGAAAAAAATGGCTGTCATGCCATGTAGGGTTGGGAAATAAAAAGTTGTAGACTGTAGGGAATAGAGGTTTTTCTCAGAGTGGTTAATCTCATTTATAAAAATGAACAACAGCAAAATGGAATCAGTTATCAATTTGCAGGTTCTTCTACTCAGTGCCATTCACAAATACAAAAGAGCTTTGAGAATAGGGAGTAAATTTTATTAAATAGCCAATGAATGGGGCAAGTGGGCTCATGCTTTAAAGGGACTTTGTTCCTGCAGATCTGGAGTTTGGGTCTTTACTAGGCCTGAGTTGGGGGTGGGTGTGGTATGTGTGCTGTCATCAGTTTTTCACTGAGAAGGAGGACATCTCCAGGAATCAGGGTGCTGCCTCTTTTATTCCCTACTTTGGGTATTGTTAGATCTGTCATGGAACAGGGGGGTGTATTTTTACCATTATAATGAAATTACAGTGAGCCCAACCTCATCTGGAGTGTGCAGTGGCATCCAGACCAGATCAAGTCAGCTGGAGCCACCTCCCTGGTGATGGAGAGTATAAGATAACCCTATGATCTGCAGGTGGGAACATTTGGTTATCAGTATCTAGGCTTTAACATTCACAAGCAAGCAGAAGAGCTGAGAGAAAAATGGGTTGCTAGTAATTTCAGGGTTCAGTCTGGTGATATCATGAGATTAGCAGGTAGACAGGAGTCTCAGGCTAAGGGAAAGGCTACATTGAGCATACAGGACACATTCAGAGGTGATGTCTGCAAGTGTAAGTATTCCAGAAGCCTAGTGGGGATGCTGATGTAAAGGACCCTCTTTGGGTACTGGGGCTTCTCATGTGCGTGTGTGTGTGTGTGTGTGTGTGTGTGTGTGTGTGTGTGTGGTTGGCTGAGTGAGGACTGTGAGCACTGCCTAGCTTCTGGTATAATATAAGCACTTCAGTAGTGCTAATAAAGGCAAGCATCTTTTTGAACCTACAAAACTTCCTCTGACACAGCGCTAGTTAGAGGATGACTGGGAACCCCAGCAGCAACATCCTTTGGGAGCTCATTAAAAATGCCAACTTCAGGACTGGGGATTTAGCTCAGTGGTTCTACTGCCTGTCTCACAAGCAGCAAGGTCCCAAGTTTGATACCTGGTACCAAAAAAAAAATGCCAACTTTTGCTCCTCTCTAGTCCTACTCAATTAGACTATGTGGGCTGCGGTCTGAAAGCCATTTTATCAAGTCCTCTTGGTTCTCAGGTATACTGAAATTTGAGGCACATTTCTAATCCTCTGCAACAGTTGCCACACACCTAGGAGATGATCCCAGCAGAGGTTGGACCCAAAGGCTCTCACTGTCCACTTAGCTGGTCTCATGTCTTTGACAGAGGGCAGACAGAGGCCAAGTGATTTCTGATACCAAGATGTGGAGGGTTAGTTCAGCACCTCCCCAAGCAAAGGTCCTAACCCTGGGTATTCTGCATGTGCCCACAGAAGCCCTTTGGGATAACTTGCTTCATTGGCTGGCAGACGAGCTCTCTGAAGAAGGCACGGAGGCCCTTACCTCATCCCTCCCTCTACGCCGCAGCACCATGCAGCTCATCAAACTCAAGCACCCCGACAACCTCACAGAACAGATCCATGAACTTCTTTGCTTCTGGAAAAAATCACTTCCAACTTCCACTGACAAACTTCGCCTCCTAGTTCGTCATCTCCGCAAGATGGGCAGGAGTGACCTTGCAGAAGAGCTCAAATTCAAGTGGGAAAATAAAGTATTCACTGAACCCCAGCAGTGGTTTGATATGGCAGGGGAGTAAAAACTAGGTGACTCTTCTTTTTTGCCCTAGGAAAACGTTTATGGGTTATAAAGATGGTTTCTGTCAACTTGTATCAAGCAGTTTTCAAGTAACACTGATTGAAATGAGTCTATTTGATAGATATTTGAAACAAGGGAGAAGCAGTAATCAGACAAGACAAGGGTGTGAGCACCTCTCACTGCTGAGTGGCATGTATTCTGTTAATCTTGACTACCTTGGGTTTCAGCCAGGCCTGATAGCATTTGCAATACAGTTTTCCCCATTTACATTTTAATAGTCAATCTTGCTTTCTAAGACTATGATGCACAGAGTCACTTTTTAATTGTCATCAACATGAAACTAAACTAGTTATCCACAGACCAAAAATCCAGTTCAAGTTACGTAGGTACCATGGGAGCTACAGATAAAAACATAAAATAAATCAGGCTGATGTTAGTGACATCAACTCACTTTAAAGAAACAGAAAGGCTCAGAATATTTCAGCCACCAACTGCCGCAAACTTCTGTTTTACAAAAATATAGGTTGGGGTAGGGAAATTTTCATATTTTGCTATTAGTGAAATGAAGGAGTACAGAGAAAATAAAGTGTAAGAATTCAAGGCCTCGGGGCCGGGGATTCAGCTCAGTGGTTCCACCACCTGTGTTGCAAGCGCGAGGATTAGAGTTTGATCCCCAGTACAAAAAAAAAAAAATTCAAGGCCTCTTTCTACTTCAAAAGCAATGTGTTTTGTAGTCAGTTAACAGAAACCTTATTACATAAGGCTTGTATGCTCATCATTAAAAATAAACCTGTAGAGGGGCTGGTGATTTAGCTCAGTGGCACCGCACCTGCCTCGAAAGCCCAAGGTCCTGAGTTTGATCTCCGGTGCCAAAAAAGAAAAAAATTAAAAAAAATAAAATAAACCTGTAGAAAAACACAAACAAAAAGCATTTGCTAAAACCCTCTGTCCACTGATAATCCCTGTTTAGTGCAAGCACTGAGTCTGGAAAACCTAAAGCACTTTGACAATCTAGAGCAGTTTGATAGCAATGAGACATTACCTTAACCAGTTCATTAATGCAAAATCAACATGACCTTGGTTTGCAAACATCAGTAGCAATCAGTTTCAATTTTCAAATACCTAGAAATGAATAAAATTACCAGAAAAATTAAGCATTTTGATGACTTTCAAATTTAAAGACAAGCTTTTCATCTACAAATTAACCAGGGACTTGGCTATATATTTGGTTATGTATCGAAAAAGGATATCCTAATTTCCAAACACATTTTGAAAAAGAAACATTTTACTAGTCAAGATTTTTATTTTTTCTTGTTACTCAAAAGATAGAATGTGTATTTTCATGTGTTCTTGGAATGAAGAATACAGACTAAAATACTGATTATTTTTCTGATTACAAGGAAAATAAAAAGCAAATAAAATAAAATTTGACTTTTATTCTGCCACTGAAAATTACTATTATGAATATTTTGATGTATTCTCTTCCAATTTTTTCTTTCTTTTGGAAGGAAATATTTTATTTACACATACATAGATGTACAGAAATGCTCACATATACACACACGCTAGTATGTATTCATCTAACACGCATTGCCTCACTTGCCTGTCTTCTCACTCACACAATCTCCTTTGTTTCCCTGTATATACACTCACTCATGCAAACACACACATGCACAGATCCCCTCCACACACCTCTCACAAACACACTCTCAAGCACACGTGCAAATAATTTACCTCACAGCCTCACACCCACTCATACACCCCTCCTGTACACCCTGCTTCCACCTTTCACGTGTACACACTTTTCCACTTCCACACACCTTGCACACAGATGCAGCCTCAGATCTACTTGTACCCTCTCACACATCCTCTTGCAAACAGTGTCTCGCACATCGTGCACTCTCACATCTCCTACTCACATATGCCCAACACCACACACACCCCTCAGACATACACACAGAAGCACACCTTATGAATTTCCGGTACACCTTCACCTGCACACCTATGTTCTCACAAGGACACTCTTTGTCACATGCCCCATTCCTGCTCTTCTCCCACATTCACATACGTATTCTTATAGGCAAACAAGTGGACAGACACACACACACACACACACACACACACAGCTTTTCATACACATGGACACATTTTCCCAGCATCAAATTGCATACGTCATTACAATAGTTCAACAAGGCAAAAATATATAAAGACAACAACTGATCGACTCTTCAGTAACTTTTCTCCTTTAGGTAACTGAAGCAATCAGTCTGATATGCGCTGTTCCTCTGCCCCTGGACACCCGCACAACTTCCCAGTCTTGCATACCTGCATTCTATTGGGATGACTGACCTGTATGGGTCCCATCAAAGATGAGGCCCTTGGCTTCTTACTGCTTTTGGCTAATGGGGAACCCCAGCAGGAGACCAGAAGGAGGGAAGAGAGTAAGTCAATGCTGTCCCTGTCTTTTGTCCATGCTCACCATGGCCAGGCTGTGTGCCTCACCCAAGGTTATTACTACTCCTCTAGAGTAGCCCCCAGTGGGCCACTATCTTCTGGGTTTTGACAGCTGGTTTTCCTTTTGTGTCTTCAGATCTAGAGGTAGCACTAGCTTTCTTGCTCAGAGTAACTTTACTATCCTTTATGGTTCCCCTATATCTGACTTCCCTTTTAAGATAAAACTTAATTTTGCAAATTTGAATAGATAATATGTTTCTTACAGAAACCCTGCCTCTATATCTCTGCATTTCTTTCTTATGCTCTTAGCAACTTATATATTTTCTAGTATGACAGTTCTTTTTTTTTTCTTTTTTCTTTTTTTTTTT